CCTTCACAGGCGACACATTTTACAGCGTTCATAGAAAAAAAGGAGTATTATATTCATACAACAACCCTACCAAAAGTTCCTTGTTATGTGCGCAATTTGAAAAAGCACCAATCGGACCGCCATACTACAACATTTGTATCTGAAAGAAAGCATTTGTTACGACAGCCGCTATCGCAGTCATTCAAAGCATTGAAGGACAATGGGAAAACTTTTGCACTATAGCAAGGAGGGAGGCGTATGTGTTGATGGCATAGTGTACAATGACACTGGTCCATCACCACTTTTCAGTTGATGGATTTCGCTGGTAGACCAAGATTAATCCATAACATCGACTGTTTATATGGGCTGTTGGGGGCTGATGCAGGGCTTAATGTGGGCGGGGTTCACTGGCGAGGAGGCCGAAACCTCCGAAACATCGGTGTATGCAATGGCGTACCAACCTCGCTTAAGCTTTAAATAATCTTTTTTGATATTATTTGAATGTTCATTACGAGGTCTTAAGAACAGTCGATGTTGTGGATTATAAAAGTTGTTTGAAACAGTCCCTCTAAAAAAATCTTATTGACTCTCCTCTGACGTTTTTCAGCCTTCCACAATGACGGTTGTTGATCTGGAACTTTCTCCGCTTACAAGTGTACTACAAGTGATAAAGCTACCGAGATATCTCTCATGGCAATAGAGATAAAGATAAAACGAAAAGATTTACAAGTAGTAAGAGTATTACTTGTTTTGAGCCGATAGATCTAGTGCTATATAGGCGTCTATCTCGTCCTATTAGGACTCATCAGTAGCACCCTCCCTCGGTTCCGTCGATCCCTTGAGGTGATAATCCTCTAAAGGAATCGGCGCCGAGTAAAAACTAAGCACCCAAAGTAGGATGATGGTATTACCTGACTTTGTGGTGACCGGCAGTCGAGCTTGCGGCTTTTAGAATGAACCATACCTCTGCTATCGACCGCTCTTTTACAGACCCGCTCAAAATATCCTTATCAGATCAAATCATTTTGAGCGGGTCTGTAAAAGAGCGGTCGACAGCAGAGGTATGGTTCATCTAAAAGCCGCAAGCTCGACTGCCGGTCACCACAAAGTCAGGTAATACCATCATCCTACTTTGGGTGCTTAGTTTTTACTCGGCGCCGATCCTTTAGAGGATTATCACCTCAAGGGATCGACGGAACGAGGGAGGGTGCTACTGATGAGTCCTAATAGGACGAGATAGGCGCCTATATAGCACTAGACCTATCTGCTCAAAACAAGTAATATCCTTATCAGATTGAATCATTTTGAGCGGGTCTGTAGAAGAGCGGTCGATAGCAGAGGTAGTAAGAGTCCTACGCAATATTTCATAGAACAGTATCATAGCTCACAAATGTTACTGAATATCACTGAATGAATTGTAAAGGCAAAACAGCATATGAGCTAAGATAAATGCATGCAGAGAGTGGAAAAGGCTTAAGGTCAGACCTCGCTGCCAAGTCAATGTAAAACAGACGTATCCACGAGCGTAATATTGCAAAGTAATATGATAGGTTGTGTGAAAAGTTCATACCGATCCGGTTTTCAAAACGATTTCCCAATGAAGTTCGATGATTTTGGTATTCTTCGATTTCGCATTTCCTTGCGAACACCTAATAAATTACTAGAAAATGATTGGTTGGAAAAGGCAAGAAACAGATGCTCATTAATAGATCGAAATGCGTATCCCTGCGAAACGATGCGGTTTTCTCGCTGAATGATGGGAAGATTTCTACACTGTCTATAAGATTAGTGCCTGTAGAAGCCTTTTTTTTATTAATAGTCCATTATTCACTTGTAATTATGGCTTCTAGAAAATTCAAGTTGTGAAGTGATTCTTATATTTCCGTCGCGCGGCGGTGGTACAGATGGTACCAAGCGGTACCAAAGGACTTGAGAACAACAATCTTTTAGGTGATCAGGCCTGTGCTACAATGCCGATGAAATGTTAGCCAAATTAATTATTTTAACCACTTCGTGCTACTGGCAAAATGAATGTATATGAATGAAACATTAAGTTTGGCGTCAATATCAGAAAAAACATGAGACAACTTTAGAAGAAATTCAAATGTTCATGTTGTCATGAGCACTTTCCAACACAACTGATTATCATATGTATGGCTTAGATGGGTCTTCTAATTCATCTACTTTAGGTCATTTTATAAACACATTTGTAAGAGCAAATGTTCAGTTGACCCTGTAGGGATGGAGAGTAGCCATTTGGAAGTACGAATTCCTGCAGACCATTCTCGCTCATTTAAAAATTTTTTTCTCAAGTACTAGTAATCATACGGAAGCAAAGGTTTCGTCAATGTGTTTTACTTAAGAAAATCTTTTCTTATTGCACTAAAGCAGATGACATAACAATTTGTTCCGGACTATTTTGATCCGCTTACGCGACTGGGGGTGTGGGTAGCTTCTCGCTGAATTGTCAATAGTTAAATGAAGAAAATTTTTTCTATTTAACCGCGTGCGGCGGTGCTACGAATTAACAAAAAAATCCGATTTTGTGGAACTTTTTCGTAAGAATTTGACGTCACGCAGGACTCGAACCTGCACTTCAACCTTTCAAGGAGTGCGCGCTTGAACCAGCCGCACCACAGACACCACTATTCCACCACTCTTTCTATGCTTCAGCGCATCAATTTGTCAGCAACCAGCCGTCAACAGTTTGGCCTAGCACTACATATCGACACTGAACACATTCAAGCTGACAAATATTGGATATATCAATGATAAACAGAATTCCTTTTATTAAACCGCTTAACGCAGTGACATGATGTTCCGGAAATAGTCAATGATGTTGAGCGATGTGCAAAACTTTGATGTCAGGCCGAAGCACTAACGGTTAGTTGTTCAGAAATTGATGTCTCCTAGCGTAGAGCAGTGACAAAACATGCGTCAGTGGTGCAATTGGTTAAGCACATGCCCCGGAAAGGGTGAAATGTTGGTTCGAGTCTCGCTTGAGGTCAAAGTTTTACACGTCACTCAACATCATTAGTTACATAAATAGTTATTCGATAACCCAGATGTTGACGGTTTTGATAATAAATTTGGCCTCGGAAAAGATTCGCATAGGTTTACCCATTAATGTATAGTGATGGGCGTCAGATGGGACTCGAACCCACAAAACACCTTATCCAGGGTGTGTGGTAGGACCGTTGTACTACCGATGTCTACTTCGACACAACTCCTACGCTACAACGTATCTGTCTATCAGTAACTGACAGCAGCAGTATGGCACGGGTATTCGAAATCAACCTTGAATCCAGTCACCCTGACAGATATTGGGTGTTCGATGATCAAATAATATGTGATCGCATCTAGAGATTGTGAGATGCTAAAAATCAATAATGCTCTATGAAAGATAAAGCATACGGCGTTGATCAGTCCTTGAGGGATGCGCTATGCATTCTTCTCCAATTTTAAAGTTTGAGGTGATTGAATGCATATCTGCTTTTTGCGATTACTCGCGGTGGCCTCCCGCTGAACCGAATCAATACTGCTCATCTTCCTAGACAAGTTGGGATCTGTCTGGACCAACTTACCGGCCCCAGAGGGATGGATGGCTTGGTGAGCCATGAGCGCGAAATTGAATCACTGACCTCGTGGGCGATCCAGAGCTCCTCTAATCACTGCTCCAAATGCGCTCTTTATATTAATAGAGTGAATAAATTTAACGCTCTTAAACCCATTTTGATATAAATAGAAACAGGGCTTAAAAGAAAGAATTCTGCTTGATCATCTAATATTTGATATCGGTCAGCGTGACTGAGTTCAATGTCGATGGCGGTACCCGTGCCATACCGTTCACGGTTGGTTGCTGACAGATAGATGCGTTGCACCGTAGTAAGACTGGTGTCAAAACAGGCGTCGGTAGCGTAACGTTTTGAGCACGCGCCCCTTTATAGAATTGGTTCCACCCTTAAACTTCATAGCGACTTTATTTGGCATAGTGAAGCAAAAAGAGAGTTCGTACCTACAGAACGGTAAGCAAGGTTTTCTCTACAATTAATACAAGAACCCTGAGTTTCTATCGCAGCGGAAAAAGTTGGAATCGATAACAAAACTTGTGTTTCCCGCATACAAGATCTTCCGAGGTGCTACTCGAGTTCGTTGCATGCCAGCGTCATTCAAGAAGCGCGCGAATGTCGTTATCCACTTGAAAAACTTCTTCATTTTCGAAAACAATTACAGGTTTTGAATTGCAATTGTGGAAAGAAATCTGTCCTACCGTCCTAAAAGTAGGAGCCATTTCTTATTTCACACTGCTTAATAAACCCGCTATGATATTCAAACGACGAGCGTATTACCTCAAGTGCAACACCTGATTTTCCTTTCGCTCTGACAGCGCTCTGTTTGGAGCTGTTTGGAAATAAATTGTGACATTGAAATCGACAAAATCTGGACCACAGACTAAAATAATGATAATGCGAAAAGTCGCCCAAACACCTTAACCAGGCTAACAAATCAAAGTGCCAGTGAAACACTATGTTATTCTTCTTTCGTTTCGAGTGTTTTCTTGAGAGCACGCTAAAATTTCAACATATCTAACATTTATTATTGGAGCCAACATGTTATGTGATCTCTTATGGGGCAAACTTGTAGAGCCCAGTACACTTGTTTCGACTTTGACGGTCTCATTACACGAAGGGTATCGCCTGAGTCCTGTGAGTAAGGTCTCCAAAAATTCGTTACTCCAAATTAGATGCATTATGTTCCGAAAGCGATGAATAAACTCAATTGTAGCGGGCGTTCGGTTCGACTGTTATAGGAGTGTGAACACTGCGTAGTTACAGGGGCACGGCTTACGGCGTGGCACTAAAGATTTTCATGTAAACTTGTGAAACCTAATTGAGTTCAATCGATCTGAGGCTTAAGAAAGACTAACGCATTACCGATTCGACCTTCACAACTAAATAGGCGCGAGATCGAACACTTTACCCCCCGGTGTCTGGTTTGACCAAGCGGTGTTGCATTTTTCTTCAAACTATAGATTCATTAATACTAGCAGGATTCACGTATACAATATAAGTTACTTGGACGGATCGTGGCCGAGTGGTCCTGATGCTTGTCGCGGCGTGAGGTTGATCCCCACTCCCCAACACCCGCTCCCGAGATTGTATAGAGGTGTACTCAGCCAGCTATATGAGAAGTTCAAGTGGAAAACAAAAACATAATAAGAAAACACTCGAATCGGTTAAATCATGTAACTTGTGAATGTGCTGGGATCTCCAGGTGAAAAAAATATGTGACACGTTTCAGATAGAATAAAGTGGAAATCAAAGCATAGGTTACCTACCAGTCATTCACTGAGCATGTCCACACCGCTTGTCACCTTACGCGTGAATGATGTTTGAGCGCACGCAAGCGGCCGTTGCCTTAGAACAGACCATTTGGCTGACCAACTGCCCCACGGCTGTCTTAACGCTGTAAAAAGTAGAAACAAGTAATTTTATTTTAGATTCGTGAAAGAATTTTTGGGTCTTTCGATGGTAGCTGTGATCAATGTTGAGGCAAATAGATAATTCTCCATATTTACAAAACGCGACATCATATGTGTGGCTTTCAGCACTTCTTGCATTTGATTTGTTTCCTCGCATACATCATGCTCAAGGGTACGAAGAAGTACTTGAGCATAATATTATGAATGTTTGGATCGTTTGTCAGCCGTGGTGAGTGATAGGAACACTAGCGAAATCCTCATCGAAGTAGCATTTTACTGATGCGCCAGATTTTTCCCACGAAAATCTGGCATAGACGTACACTTGGATTGTGGTTCCAGGAAATGTCACTATGTGTTGATGCAAGCTGATAGTAGCTGGTGCGGAATTATGATATCTAATAAGCTATTGTTCAAAACTGTGCAGGATGCCACAGTGGTGAGTGATGTCGTGTATCACGGAGCAGAGTGAAACTTGGAGCTGACTGAATCGTTTTTCTCGATACTCTCGCAACTTAATCAGCCGATCACTTGAGAGCGCACAAGGTGAACGCCCAAGAATGCAAAACGATTGCCCTCGTCCAGTATTCTACGACATTCATAAAGAAATTGGAATTCCTATGCAGCAGCCAAAGTAACAGGTAAGACATTTGAGGGTCTTTGCAAAAGATGAATGCAAGTAAACGAATCTGATGGAAAAAGTGCTGGATTCGCAACAGCAGCGCCTGATAACGGGTCGCGTAAGTTATTTTAAATAGTAGTATTCAAAATTACGCAAGCAGTAAGCAATTGCATCTAGTGGAAATCAGAACCAGTAGCGCGAGTCTTCCCGGATCCACAAAATTTACGGATTTCATGCGCTGACAACCTTGGCAGCTCCCTATGAATACGTCGCCACACCTGTGGAAAAACTTTTGACTCTGCATCTAACTAACTCTGAACCAAATGGTGGAATACTCCCTGCACGATTCGGCTAATCCGGAAGTTTAGATTTGAAATGAAGAGCAGTAGTTGATGCATCACACTTGGTTTATCCCCTAGAGTTGTGCCGTCCATTGAGCTCTGCTCATACCACTGCACTCAATAAATACATAACTGCCCTATACGGTGATGTGAATGAATCTAACGAACCATCGAACCAATGTTTTGGCCCACATGACTACTTCAACCCCTAACGGACGACTATAGAATCGATGTTCTATCTTTCTGTAGGCTTAAATCTTCCATTTTCCTAATACTGCTAAATAAACTCGCTGATAAGCTTGAGCTTGAGCTTATACACGGAAAGCACATGAACGTGCAAAGGAAGACTTCGAGTATCAGAGCCACAAGTTTTATGCAGAGCTTTTTCCTTCAGAACATAGATAAAGCTCCAAATCTTACATCAATGACTACGCCATATGTGGATAGCTTTGTGCGGCAGATATACAACCACCTACTACACTATTCGCAGCAAATGTGCGCCTTATGTGAAACACAAAATTCATTTGGCTGCTCGAACGCACCAAGAAGCCCTCATCAAGAAATAGACATACCATTGAAAATGATGAGAATTAAGCTATCGTATGACTACTGAAGGTCCGGAAAAAAATTTCTCCTCAATGAAAAAAGCGCCTAAACACGCTAAACGTAGAACACAATCTAAAGCGTGCTGTTTCCGAAGAGTTAAAAATGTGTACAGAAAGAAGAAAAGTATCGCATGTCTTATGAGTACTATCCAATACAGAAAAGGCTCTAGAACAAGCAAATATAAAAAAAAGAAACAGAACGCAGACTGCTGACTCACATCCTTAGGGCTGTTCCGCAGTGGAATCGCGACTGAACGCGACATGTTGTAGCGAGTGTCGAACAGGCAGTGACCTAACAGTCTGGGCGGAACGACTTCCAGCAAGCCTATAGGCACCCGAATTCGAAGGAGTAAAACATGAAAATGCCCAAAAATTTGCGTAAAAGCCACTCACTTCCTGAAATTATATAGGCGCCTGAATCTGAAGATGTGAGATATAGAAATGCCTATATCACACAGTTCATATCGAGTGCTCTTTTAAGACCACGCTGAAAACTCAGTATATCTGGTAATTATTTCTGAACCATTATTCATGTGGTCTTTTAGGGGCACCTCCGACGACGCACGATTACACGTGCCGTCAAGTGAAATAGATCAC